CTCCTCCCAACCCCCTCTCCAACCCCAGCCCCCAACCTACCTTCGTCCCAATCACTGCACTGACCATCACTTGTCACAGCCTTAAGTTGCGTCTCAGTCCTCGACAACCCCAGCCCTGGCCATCGTCATTGCCCAACCTAAACACAGACCATGACAATCTCCAAATCACTGAACCGAACCTGCGCACCCTACCAGGCACTCGAGTCATAGCAATACCTAACCAGCCTAGCCTTAGCCGCCACATATCTTAAACCTAACGAATTCCATCGCTGGCGATCTGAAATTCTAGCCATGTTCTACTCTTAAGGTTCATCGTTGTCGTTGCCTTCACATTTAATCGAACAGAAATTAAAGATGAAGAGCAGTGAGCGACGACCTAGAGGTGGAGGCGACAGTTTGGAGGCGGAGGCAGTGACCAGGAAACGGAGGCAGAGATCGGACGATGGAAGCGGAGATCAGACGACGGAAGCCACACGGAGTAAGTTACCTTAGAGAGGAGGCAAAAGCTTTGTGCGCTGTGAATTTTTTTTGCAAATGACGATGGTGGATTGGGCGTGGGGAAGGGTGTGTGCAGATGGGAAACGATTCGAGGGTACATCAGTCCATTCAAGTTTACTTAATCGCTTTTTCTCACATGGCAAGGCCCCATTGCCATGTGAGGCCCAAGGAAATTGCCTAGGCCAACTGGCCTCAAAAGCGTGGAGAAGGGTTCAGTATTATTGAACTGATCCCGTATGACTTGCAAGAAGAGAATATGTAAATAACTTCATATCGAGTTATCAAACTCTTCCAAACATTTTGGGGAAATTCGAGTTAACCACAAAAATGGGATGTTAGTCTGTGCTTTCTGTCATGCTGGCAAAAGCATTATAACTCACTGATCAATTGAAAAAATGGGATGTTAGTCTGTGCTTTCTGTCATGCTCGTCATCAAATCAAAGCACCCCAGACCTTTTATTAATCTGCTAAATTTACTAAGTTATCCATTGGAAAAATGAAACAAGTTATCCATCAAAATTCATCTTAACATGATAGTTTTATGTAGTTGGTTGTTTTTTGGATGTTCTGTTTCAGGTTGGTTAACTTATTGATAGGTTTGAGAACCCCATATAATCATCTTTGATGCCTAAGAGCATCTTTAATGGGGATGTGAATTGTACTCCATAATTAATGGACACATCACTAATGTGTGATGTGTCCATTTAAAAAAAAAGATGATTTTTATATATTGCTCATTGTTATATTTTTTGTTTTGTTTATGCATAAAATGGTTCAGAAATACTAGAGTTGGAATGTGGGGGCGATTTGGAATGATGATATATATGATTGTAGATACTTTGATGCAATTTACTTAGTTTTGGAATGATACATTCTGCTCTTGTCTACAATTTAACTATGTGCTCTCATCTATGTGACTATGTGGTCTCCATTTCTATTCAGAAATTCAGAACTTATCAAAGAGCTGTCAACACCTATTCGCCAGAGGTTGATACTTCCGAGTGGAAAATGCTATTGAATCATCAAGGTAATTGCCCCATTACTTTGTTTATTCTTCTACTAGCTATTAAATCTCATATGCTATCTCGACAATACTTGATTCATTCATTTTTGTGCCTGAAACTTATCCCAACGATTAATGTCAACTTTTACACTTTTTGTCGAACTAATATCTCATTGAAGTTCTTACATGACTATTCATTATTCCCTAATTTTTCTTGGGTATTCTGACATCAATATTCATGTGTTTGATTTTTTAGAATGGTTCTTATTTTTATAGGACATGTGGACTACTGTAACATGCATGCCTCTAGCATACAAGGTACCTGACTAAACCGAAGTTACTCTATAAAAAAAAAGCTTACTTAAGAGCTAAATAGCTAAATGAATTAACATGTTCATAGTAAGTGAATATGCATCTCTTCTTATAAAAATAAATGATGTACGGATTTTATATCATGCTAATTAAGTGATGTTTTCCCATTGCTTTCACTTTGTGATATTTTCTACGGTTCTTCTCTGAAGTCAGGGGCGGATCCAGGAATGAAGAGTGGGGTGGGTTAAGCAAAAAAAGTTGTTACTGCAAACAAAAAGTTTGGTTTAGGGCCGTTATCGAACCGAGCTTTTTTCGAACTACTCGAGTTCGGGCATAATTTCGGATTTAATTTAATGACTCGAACTTAATGCATCTTTTTCATCTCGAATAGTTATTCAAGCCGAGTTCAAGCATGGTGATATTCGGTTTGATCCGGAGTCAAGCCTGTCGACAACTCATAAATTATAGGAATGAATTTTATTTATCTTAAAATGCAAACATTTTTAGTGCAATTTTATAAATCATTTAAACACTATAAAAGAGAATTAATACATCTATTTTATTCGAGCCCAGTTCGAGCATAAATGAATAAACACTATTTTATTATAGGGAGAGGGGTCAGATAGGGTCTCGAACTTGAAAAAAAATGTCAAATATGGCCATATATATTTAGGATGCTCTGTCCGGCCGACGCCATTTGGGGTGGTTCCCGGTGGAATTTTTTGATGAAATTTTTTGAGAATCTTATTCATTAAGTCTAGTTTACTCATATCAAATTTGAACTAAAACTTTAATCGGGAAGACATTCAAATGAATTCTTGAAGATAAACTGTACCGTTAAAAGCGCAGTTATCTTCATGAATTCATTTGAATGTCTTCCCGATTGAATTGTTAGTTCAAATTTGATATCAGTAAACTAGACTTAATGAATAAGATTCTCAATAAAATTCATCAAAAAATTCCACCGGGAACCACCCCAAATGACGTCGGCCGGACAGAGCATCCTAAATATGGCCTTATTTGACATTTTTTTTCAAGTTCGAGACCCTATCTGACCCTTATCTCTTTATTATATATTCAAAAATTCAATTAATAATCAATAGAATTACAAACTAAAAAGAACCAATGCATAAAATAATACGTAGTAGATTAAATGAGTATTAGAGTATACGTGGATGGCTCGACAACTAGACTCAGTTAGAGGCAGTTGATCGGACTCGAATAGACTAGAGAGGCAGAGCCACAACGAGCTATAGGCTAGAGAGTCGGACTCCGGAGAGATACCGACGGTCGACGGCCGAGGTGGGGGGCATGACAGTAGGTGGTGGCGCGGCTAGTCGCCCGTGTTAGTGACTTCGTATCTTCTCGCTTTACTGAGTTGACTCCTTTCGACTTCTGCTTCGTGATTCTGAGTCGCTTTATAACAAAAGTATATTTCTCGAGCTCTAAAAATCACATACAGTAGTTCTAACTATGCTTGTTGCAAAATTGGAGATAGATAATGAACTGGATGATGAAAAAAGCATAATAATAACAATAGTAGCAATTAATAGTATATGACCAAATAATTAGGATAGTGGATAAAAAGCGACTTACTTATTTTAATGATTATAATTATGTTCAAATTTCACGATTAGAATGCTTAATTATAAAACTTACTCATAATGACTTTGGTACAAAAAGTATCCTTATTTAATGTTAGTAATGTTTTAGGAAAAAGTCATAATAATAATAGAAGTAATAATAATAGTAGTAGTATCAATATATAATAAGAGTGATATAATAATATAATGTTAATCATTAAATTAATGTTTAGCATAATAATTTTAGTAAATTAAAGTTGTAAACTTGTAATATAAAGTGCTATAGATTTCAAAAGATTACATCATTAATGGTGTGGGTGACTAGGTGAGATGAGATTGCATAATTTTTAGAGCTATATACGATATTCTTCTGTATGTGAAGTTTTGAACTTCTAAGTTTTTCCCACACCGGCTGAAGAGGGTTGTTCAGCCTCTTGAGTGACTTATAAATAATTTACTCCTTTCTACACATTTTCTAGGCAACGACTAGTTCAGTTGCCATAAGCACCGACCTTTGAGCTGCCTTTTATCAATGAGACTTTGCTGTCAAGGCTAAGTTTTTTAAAATTTTGGGCTGCCTTTTATGAATGAGGTTATAGCTGACGCTTTGAGCCTAGGCAGTCCTTTTAAGTTTGAGCTGAGCTGAACATTAATTTTGGGCTGAGCTGGAAATTAAATCTCTTCCTATGCTACTAAAAAAATTGGTTGGGCTGGAGCCTACCCCTGCCCCCATATAGATCCGTCCCTGTCTGAAGTAACATTTGAAGTTAAACTGGGGTTTTCTCATCTTAAATACGTAGTATGAAGTATTAATTAGAAGAGCTGTGAATGTTAATTATAGGTTGTGTCGATGTTTAGATTGCTCATTATTATGTTTGGTTTTGCGTATTCCACCCGTGGGTTGCACGGGACGTAATATGCGTACATATACTATCAAGTATCAAGTCGATCGGTCGTATAGACAAGTACTAGTTTTCTCACGCGCGTTGCGCGTTTGAGATAATGCCCAATTACCATGGACTATGTAACTAACAGAATTGTAAACCCAACTTATCAAGTCTTTCAAACGATAGTTATTCCAGGAGGGCATCCAATGTGCTCCTAAGAAGCTAAAAATTGTATTGATAATGACATAACAGATACTACGTACTACATATTTATAAGTTTGAAAGCAATTCAATCCTAAGGGTGAGACTCCTTAAGATTTAAGACTAAAGAACTAAAGAATTTGGTGAAAAAATACTTTTTTTACGGTAGTGGTGAAAAGGTACTTACAATTCTAGCATTCTTAATTACATAAATCTATTATAGTATCACTATGATCCATTATACTAAAACCGGCATCAAATCTTTTAAATGCTAGACAAATTAAACTTGAGCCAATCTCTCTTATTTCACCAAGTGAAGAACAAAAGCAAGTATAAGATGAATTTTTGATATGGTGTAAAATGCTATCTGATAGTAAATTCTTAGGGTGGAAAAGTTGCAGCTAGTAAAACAATGAGGACATGGATAGTTTTTTTTAATAAAGACACAGTAACAAATAATTGTACTATCACCAAAATAAGAGTTATTTAGGCATATATATTTACTCCATTAAAGTTTTATTTTAAGCAATATTTATCCAATAAAGTAGTGAAACTAAAATGTTCGAATTCAGCATATTACATCTCTAGCATATTACATCTCTAGACTCTAGGGGTGTCTTTTGAGAAAGAAGATGGTTCCCTTGTAAACAAACATATTAAAACAAATAGATCAAAACTCATTAACTTGTTATAGAACTGCTTCAACGTTTTGTTATTTTCTCCTTGTCCAGTTGTGTTGCAGAGCCAAACATGGTCAATGTGTTGTCGTGTTGATAAGCATTAGCATTGTCCTCAAAAAGACCTGTATGAGAAGTATTATAGAATATTTATGTACCAAAGTTCATTTTTGGCAATATGAAAGTGTTCGACTTTGTAAGACTTTAGGAACTGAATGTTAACTCATCCTAAATTTTTAATAATCATTAAAAGATTGAAAAAAGAATGTCAAAATATTTAAAAAGAAAAAGAGAGACATGACAACAGTAAAATAGAGATGTACAAAATGTTAATGGTAGAAAAAAAACAGCAACAAATATGCAGGGAAAGTGCTTCAAAATGCTAACACATATATGCAGCAGAACTATCTAAAGTGCATGTAAGTTAATCACTGTAATGAATGGAAATATAAAATGGGCATACTAAAGGTTATAATCACTGTAATGAGTGTCAAACTCTACAAAGCTAAACCTATTATACAGTGCAAAATATTACCCAAATAATTCTCCAAAGTCCACACAATAAAAATTGTTCCACACTTCCACAATGCTAAACTTATGACAAAACTAATCCGTGTATACCCAAATAATTCTGAACTCTAAACTTCATTTTTAATACAAATCTTACTCCCTTTAAAGCCATGTCCTTAAGAATTTTCTTGCTATTAAAGGGAATAGAATCTTATTATTCTTATAAGCATGATAAGAAATTTACCTACCTATATCGGGTTGAATAGTGCACTTTAGAGAAAATTATCTAGGTAGAGAAAATATCAGAAAGAGCATTCTGTAAAAGGAAAAGGTTTAGGCAGAATTCGTTAGATATTTAACAAAAGCTTTGGGTGAACAAAAGCAGCTCAAAATGGATAGGTCCATGTTAGATATTTTTTCTTACTTTATTATCAACTTATACATTATTTCTATACTAAAGTTTAAAAAGAAGATTTCATTCCCAACTGCAAATTGTAGTTCATTTTAAAACTTAACAAAACAAATTTTCTTACCAATCATCTTTATTTAATAAAGCAAATTTACGCAACAAAACAAATACTTGATACTATTTACCAACCATGTTTTAACTGGATGCATATAAAGTATTGCTTTCCTTAGTTAGTTAGTTGTATTCTAATATCTTACTTCCAGTTAGTACAAGCAAGTCTCTAGTTGATAAGGTCTTTTTTTTATATCAAATAGTGTATGGAGAGCTCTGAATACTTGATCTTATTGTACTTAAGTTTTCCCTTAAAATCTTACTGTCTTCTTATGTGAGTCCATATTGCCTAGAATGAAAGAATAAGTTCATAACAGTATAGAAATGAAAATAAAGGATGTCTTTCCAAAGGCATCTGTCATACGATGGCACATACTTAATCAGCGTTTAGATAATGAAGATAACATTTAGTAGGTCCTATTTGCACATCCTATCAGTGTTGGAGAAATAGAGATCAGTCCTTTGTACAACCACATAAGCAGATTTTAAACAGATTAAATAGAAATAAAATAAAATACGGAGTATGAGTATATTGAATGTGAGCATACGGGAGCTTTTGCTGCTGCTGAATTTTGGCAGATGTTGTCTTACTTCCTAACTGCTGAACTTTGGCAGATGTTGTCTAGCTTCCTAGCTTGTGAAGATACTTTTTTGTCTGAGATAGAAAGGATAAGAGAACAACATATTTCTCTCCTATGAATGCAATTGTGTTTGATCTAATAACATCTCTCTATGTCTATCCACATCATTATTCTTTAAGGCCCTCGTCTTCTTACTGTGATCACCGTCATTTTTCTTTCAGAACACCCTCAACATTATCTATCTCATGATATTTAGCAACGCCCCTGTTTCGGGAAGTTAGAGTGTCACAGATATCATCTAAATTTCATTTTCTATTCATGGTCATTTTCCAGCCAATATAAATGCACTGACAAACTTGACAACCAAACCCATGGGCCATGGTGCTTTAGAGAATGGAATACTCCAAATTTTTGCACTAATCACATACGGAATAGGGTAATCCTCCAGGTGTGGGTTTCTTAAGGCAGCCCTTCTGTTGAACGTGTTGAAGGGATGCCCTTCAATTCCCTTAGATTAAACGTGTTGAAGGGATGCCCTTCTGTTCGCAACACAGAATGATCTGATGTTGTAAGGTTCATTTGGATTTGTTACTCTCAAGTTTTCCAAACCCGGATTGTCCCATCCACAGATGAAGTTATCATGCAACTGACTTTTGGGTGATAACTTACACTGGTTACCACAGAAGAATGAGCTTTGAAACTGGATGTTACAGATGCATCAACCAGATCCCAGGAATAAACGAAACCATCTTCCGAGCCACCGATCACATGTGCATCAGTGTTTGTGAGACAACAATCAGTTTTTGAAGTCTTGCAAGTATGTCCCTTGTATTCTTGCAACAGTTCACCAGTAGACCTATCCACAAGTCGAAGGGTTGAGTCAAGACAGCTAGCTAATATACAATTCCCATCGTTAGACAGAGAGATACAGTTTATTGGTTGCCCCAAGCTATCAGATAATTCCCTACCCATTCGAATGTCAAATGTTCTAACAGTGCCATCAACGCTTCCAGCAATTATTTCAGTTTTTGTCAAACAAACTGGCATGACACTGTCTAAAAATGTGCCAATGATCCGAATCGGTTCAGTGCTGTGAGATTTGCAGTCCTAAACGCGCAAAGATTTATCATATCCAGCAGATATAACCACAGAAGCATACTCATTAAACTTCACAGCGTTCACCTCACTGTCATGGCCCCTAAATTTTCTAATTACACGACCAGATGCGACATCCCGGTAAAAGATTTGTCTATCTCCACCACAAGAACATAGCTTGGAATTATCCGGCGAAACGTGGACGTCTCAGACTTCACAGCCGTGAGATTTGTAGGTCTTGATGTGAAGCACAGAGTAATGAAGAGGGCACCAAAATCCGAAAAACAAACTGAAAAAAGCATTGACAGAGGCAAGGGCATAAGCAAAAGAAGACACTTACATCGCAAAGGCCGTCAGAAAGCGCACAAACTTTTCCAAACTGGGAGAGAAACACATTTCTACTCCTGGAGACATAAGGCTTGGACTATCAGCCTCTCCACCATCTGTAACCGATGAAATCAATGACAAGGTACTCAATGGCATAATAACATGGGTATTAATGAGGAAGGAGATGATAACACACCTAGATGGCTAGCGGCACATCACCGAAACGATAGGAGCAGGCGAGTGAGGTTAGCGCACCGTTGGGAGTACCTGAGTGGCAGGGTTCAAGCTTGGGGGCGGCTAAGAGGAGAAGAAAATGGACCAGCTGGAACAGGGTTCAAGCTAACGATGACTGACGGTCAATGGCGGACCCAGAAAAATGGAGTGACGGGGTCCCTACTCTAATGTTATTCTAATTAAGAGTAGTTTTCATGTCCAGCCGGCCTGACGGGACCCGCCGTCCGGACGAGGGCATTTCGGGCACTTCCCGGTGGAATTTTTTGATGACCTTTTTTGACCATGTTCTTCATGAAGCCTAGCTTATCCATACCAAATTTCAGCTAAAAATTCAATCGGAAGGGCACTCAAATAATTTCTTGAAGTTAACTGGGCAGTTCATACATATAAACTGCGCAGTTAACTTCAACAAATTATTTGACTGCCTTCCCAATTGAATATTTAGCTGAAATTTGGTATGGATAAACTAAACTTCATGAAGAACATGCTCAAAAAAATTCATCAAAAAATTCCACCGGGAAGTACCCGAAATGCCCTCGGCCGGACGGCGGTTTCCGTCAAGCCGGCTGGACATGAAAATTTGTCTTCTAATTAATACTACGTACTACGTATAAAATTAAACAAATAGCATGGTAAACAAATAACATGATAAATAAAATACAGCATCTTAAAAGAGAAATAACATGGTAAACAAAATGTAGTATTTTGAAACCCTATTTCCAAAAACTAATAGTTCATAAATACACAAATTTAATAGTGAGAAAATTCTCTAAATAGAACTCAAACATAGATAGAGTTCATAAATAGGACCATCAATGTTTTATTCCAAAAATAGGACTCATACACTATTGAAATATCTTTTCATCCTAAATCGTAAAATATTGAGAGAAAAACATTCATAAATACACAAATTTAATAATGAAAAAATTTCTAAATAGGACTAAAACATGATTCATAAATAGGAGCATCAATGTTTTATTTCGAAAATAAGACTCATTCACTCCTACTGAGTATCTTGCAAAGTTCTAATCAAGTTATTCTTTTAATAGGATTAAATAAGTCTCGTTTGGAAAATAAAACATACTTAGTCCTATTTTTAAACTTTGTATATGTTTAATAATTTAATCTTAACATTCAAACTCCTGTATATCGTACATAATGTGAAGAAAGGATTAATATACAAGGTGTTAAACAAAACCATTTAATGAAAATATAGTACGTATAATTGGTTCTAACATAGTAATTTAATTAAAATCAGTTTTTTTTGTACTATGGGTACTATTTTAAAGAAAACAAGAAAACGAAACTACGATACAAGTATAATGTAAATAAAAATTAAAAAGAAAGTAAAGTACTCCGTACTTAACTACTTATTTAAAATAATCAAATAAATGAGGAGCATGATTGACTTTTATACTAAATAGTAAATACGAGTAATCAAAAATCCATGGACGTATCTTTAGTTTTATGTCTAGGGTAAACAATAAAACATGGGGAAAACAATAAAAGTAAAAATGAATGATTGAAGTTTAAAAAACGAAAATGGAGTTGAAGGGGAATCGAACACTGTATCTCCACAAAAAGCAAAATGCATAACCCTCACGTGTCCACCCGTCCAGCTGATGAAGATTTTCAGTTCCATAGTAGCTTTTATCATATATATACATTTATTAATTAATTTTACATGAAATATGTATGATATATATAGGTATTTTTGGAAGTTCACGGGGTCCCGGGACCCCATGGGACCCTTAGTGGGTCCGCCTCTGCTGACGGTAGTAAAACACAAAGTTAAGTCCTTTAATAATACAGTACACATGCTAAAACACACCGTACAACTCTATTAAGCTACATGATTACACCATCATTTTTTTCATCCCTAAAATGCCCTAATCTTCATTGACAATTATAAGTTTTTAAGATTATTTTTATCACAGTTTTAGTGGTTTAATAAAAAAACACATACTACATTGTTCATTTTGTTTGGGTTTTCATCATCTTGCATATCATATCCTCGTGATCTAGTACGGAGTATGTTTTAAAACACATCTTTTATCACGACTTTGACCTTGAGTGTAAATTTTTGGAATTGGGATTTGGAATAAAGAATATCAATCATAAAACATTTATTACTCCCTTCGTCCCTAATTTACCTCCTGGTTTGACCCGGCAAGGGGATTAAGATAGTGCATTTTGTGTGGTGGAGAGTTGTGCAGAGGAGAGAGAAATGCGTACGAATTATTGTGAACCATAAATCCTTTGTCAAAAAAGGAAAAATGAGATAATTAGGGACAGACGAAAAAGGAAAGTTTGAAGATAATTCAGGGGCGGAGGGAGTATTATAATAGAATGAAAAATGAAAATAAGAGATTATTGGAAAAGAAGAAGTTTGATAGTAGAGATGTACCGGGTCTGGGCTGCCTGACTCGAGACCCGAACCGACCCGCTATTGTTTAGTCCCGACCCAGTTTTTCGGGACCAGTACTACATTCTGTACCTAGCCCGGTGGGAAAGTGAGACGGGTTCGGGCTCCTATTTTGGTGGACTAGCCCAGCCAATCAAGGCCAAGTCCGAGCGTAACGGTCACCAAATAATTTTTTCCCCATTGGGCTGGCTGCTAGGAGGGTGGGGCTGGGCGGTTTGGGGGGATTTGGGGGGGGGGGGGGTGTTGGAATTAGTTCAAAAAAACAAAATAAAAAAACAATAAAGCACGACCCGGCCCGTTTTGGAACCGGTACAAACCAGACCGGTACCAGGCATAATTTCCTTAGTCCCGAAGCCCGCCCGGGCCAAGCCCGTCCTATCCCAGTCCACCCCTATTTGATAGTATATTAGTGTCAAGATAAAAAGGAATAAAAGGAAACTTCGATTCAATTGCATCGTGATTAATATCCTACTTAACATCTAATTTTAGTATATTGTGTATGTTTCTAAGACGTACCGCTCTTAGGTTTAAGGAGAGACGCTTCATAACTATCACTCTAGAGTCCTAAATCATCTTCATCTATCCATGCCCTCCGATCTGTTTTGCGAGCAATTGTTTTTGCAAGACCAAACAAAATTTAAATCCACTAAAAAAAATACATTAATATTTCTAGCAAATTTCATACTCTTACAGAGCTTGTATAATAGAGTAATGTCCCAGATTGAATTGTAGTAAGAATGAAACTCCATCACCTTCGGTCAGGGGCGGAGCCAAAGGGGGGTCCGGGTGGTCAGCCGACCCCGCGTTTGAGTGTATAGAGCTCTGAAATATCTTCAATTTGATATATTATGGGCCTCGTAACTCATTACAGGTAAAAAGTTATGACTTCTGGAAAATCAGCACTATCTAAATGTAAAATCAACAAATTTTGATGCATAATACATAGTATTGATTATTTTCCCAAATTTAAAAATAAAGTATAATTTACTCATTACTTTTTAAAAAAAAACATAATTAACTCATTACTTACGTGACATGATTCATAAACAAAGCAAAGACAATATATCTTATTGCTTACGAATGCCTATTTATCTAAAATACAAACGAAACATTCAACTCGAACATTGTCTAAAACCGATCTACAATTTTCATTTTGTATATAGTTGATTTTCGACCGCTGACCCGTTTTTTCTGACCCAATATCAAATTCCAGCCAAAAATAAAACCGGGAAGACAGCCAAATGATTTTCTGAAATGTACTGCGCTGTTTAACTGCGCAGTTATCTTCAAAAACTCATTTGACTGCCTTCCCGGTTGAATTTTTAGCTGAAATTTGGTATGAGTAAACTAGATTTAATGAAGAAGATGCTCAAAAAATTTTATCAAAAAATTCCACCCGGAACCGCCCCAAGTAACGACGGCCATGTAGAACCTCTTATATAAGGGGCTAATTGAACACTTTAGTTCATGTACCTATTTGATCCTTTAGCCAAACATACCCTAACAATGAATTCAGTAAAATACTACTCCGTATAAAAAAAATCTGACAAAAACTTAACATTCAAAATCTGACATAGAGAGTTCAAATTAGCATGAAGATCCAAAAAAGCAAATAGACCAGTTTTTGAATATTTTTGAAACCACACGCAAAGTATTGGTCTTACGGAACCGGATTCCATATTCAGGAACTCATATCCATTACTTATATTTCAATGGAACCACACAATTCAGTAATACGATTTTCAACAAAAATGTAAATTTTCATTGCAAAATATAATGGAAGCTACCAAGGTTTTAAATAGCCATAGCGGTAGCGGTCATCGCGGTAACGGCCTGTAACGTCCTGTAGCCGACTGTACCGGTTGCAGCGGCATGAAATATTTTGAATTGCGCAAAACATAAATGTATTTTTTCACATCATTCACACAACATTTAATTTTGAGTTTCACTCTATGCATCACTATTAATGTATTTTTTTCACATCATTCACACAACATTTACACATCAAAAAGTTCGTGATGTACTGCCGGAAATGTCAATAGCGGGTTGTAGCGGACTATAGCAGGCGGCGTAGCGGATTTTTCCCGTGATTTGTAAATCACACACGAATAGCAGACCGCTATATAGCGGCTCCTACCGCGACGGCTATATAGCGGCCCGGGCCGCTATTTTAAACCATGGAAGCTACTTACCAAGGATAATAATTACAGAAGGGATGTTAGAACTTGAGGATAAAAATATATAAGGCTGTAAAATATGGTTGAACCGGATATCACTTCTAGTCACGTATTAAATACGCTTTCATAAAAGTTTACTATCTACCCTTATCACAGTAATCGGGTTACAAGATAGAACTTTTGAGATAAAAAGAAGGTGTATGATGTATTTTAGTTACCGATAAAATAATACCGAACAAGTGATTTGTATATAAAATGATCTAAACACTTTATTACTAATACTACAGCTATCAGTAATAAAATAAGGCAAGTTAGAGAAGATTGACAAAATGTTTTGTCGTAACCTCTCAATTCAACATGGTCCACATTTTTATCCGAAAACGGTGTCTCTTAGAAAAGGAGTACAGAGTATTAACCAACCGAAATGTTCATCCGCTGAAACGGCAATCAAGCCTTATTCAAATGAAACATCGTGACATTTCAAAAGAACACAAACTTTCGTTTAAAACAAAAATTGAACTAATATGTGCTGCTGCACTTGT